AGATATATATATATATATATATATATATATATATCTGCAGTCCAACTGCCCTGGCCACCAACGTGGGATATGAGTACCATGACCCCTTAAATCCGATCTAGTCTGGGCTGGACCATCATACTTGTATTATATTCCACCCTTTTCAATTTTCTGTTGTTTGGGGTAAAGAGCATACCTGTTCTGGATGTACTGCAGTGTTCCCCACTTTGATACCACTTCTCGTGGTACATATTTGTTCTTTGCAGACGCTTTCTGTACGATCTCTGTCCTCACCGGCCCCTCTGTGTTCTCAGTTTGGGATTCTAGCTATTAGGGTCAGCAGAGGTCTGTAAGTTTTGGAATTTATTATTTTTCTAAACTAAAAATTTATTTCTAAACATACTTACCTCTGCTGAAACTCTCCCTCTCTTCTTCCTCACTAAGAGCCGGTGTTAGTGACCGGAAGGAGGTCTCGAAAAAGTGATTTTATTGTCTGTATACAGTGCTTATATACAGTACCTGCATAGAGGGTGTGTGAGGATTGGTGTAAAGTTTTGCAAATTAGATATTGCTGAGGACAGTCGGGTAAGGTATATAAAGACTGGAGCAAGTGAACACAATGTTAGATGGTAAAGATGAAGAACGAGAAATAGCTATTAGTGTCAGCAGTGGTAAGTATGTTTGGAAATGCATTTTCAGTTTAGGAAAATGATAACTTTACACAAAATTAAAGGAATGACTATTTTGCTGAGATAACCACTTTTCATCATGTTTATACCGATTATATGGAACTCCATAACCATTTGGCTTGAATCTGATAGCTGTCAAAATGGGGTCATCCTGAACCAGAAGGTATTGAACATATTGTTAAATCATTTTAAGAAATGCCAAACCTCATGTTTTGAACTGCTTGCATACTTGTGTGAAGCACTCATTGATTGTGAATATTCATCAGTGGTAGAAAACAAACTGTAAAACACATGCCATATTAAATTAAGTTTATTGGTGAATTTGAAAACTGTGATTTGGGCAACATCCCTTCATCTGACTTACATTGAGAATAAAATAGCCTTTAGAAGAGAGAGGGTATACTACTCATGATTTGAAACATCAAATGAATGTATAGCCTTGCTAGTTTTTAACAAATATTGATTTTATATACTTATTATTTTGTGTTTGTGTAGGTTAAATTGTTGTTCATAAATGCTACCATTTATGAATTAAGCACTTGTATCTGTACATATGAATAAAATCACTGAATATTTGTGTTAGTGTTAGGGTAAAAAACAATCTTGGCCATATGGCTAACTTAATAGCCACAAATGGACTAATTAGTCAATAGTTAATGTAAATTGATTATTTTATTGTATGGTTATATTTATACCAGTCACAATGCAATTTCACTGGCTATGAATATGCTATTATGTTATGCAAGCACAGCAGACAGATAGACATTTTCAATATTTCCTGATGTTTTGAGCCCAGTGCTGTAGTTGAACAATGAAATACAGAATACATCTCAAAATGTAGAATTATCTTGGGATCTGTAAGTGTATCAGTCAGTAAGCCTTGTCTGATATTCAAAATACGATAATGCAACCATCAGTAGTTATTTAGTAATGGCATAACCTATAAGCAATGATAGTTATTGTTACAGCAATAACTGGTTGTAATTGAGACTCAAAAATACAGTCCAAAAAAATACATGACTGAGCATACATGGTGGTAATGGCATAAATATATATATATAGTCATTAATATCAATACAAATGAAACAATCAGAAAGGGAAAAAGAAGACATATGGAATGAACTATAAACTTAGTGTAGTTTTATAGATATGCATTGCCATTATGGTGAATAGCTGACTTTTTACTCAACAGTTTGTTAAACTAATTGCATTTGGCAGTGGCAAACATTTAGCACTGGAAAAAGAATATAATCAAACTTATTGAGAAAATGTTTAAGATTAATGAATGTCAGAACATTTAATCACTAAGAGAAAGTTAGGTTTTTATGTTAACTATTTTTCTGCAAAACCAATGCATGACTGGATTGTTATTATTCACAGAATGTTTTACATAACTTCTCACTATTGGAAAGGATCTTTCTTTGACAGTGTATACTGTTTTTGTACATGGGAAGTTTGATATAAATATATAGTACTCAGCTAAGTAAATTTACACCAACAGTTTTGCTAGTAAAAACTTGGAAGGCGTTATAAAAAAAAATCCAAGTACATATTTCAGAAGGAAGATTTGCATCTTCTTACTGCTGAGTATTAATGCATTTGTGATATATATACATTTCAGTCATTTTACATTGAAATATTATAAGTACAGGAAGTTACTCTAATTGTAAAGCCAGTTTTGCTCTCTCCATATGAGCTACATGACATTCCGAGCTAATCTGAATATTATGAAATGGGGATAGTGAGACTGCAGCTTCAAATTACTTGGTTGGCAAGGCAATTAGCACATTGGCCAGCTGGCTATACTCACACCATCTGGCTCCCTTGTAGTGTAGTTTTTTTGGTAGCATCCTTAGAAATACTGTGCTGAAGTGGTTGCTCATTGGTGGTAATAATCAAATATAAATCACATAAACTGCATATGTTTTCCACAAATTCCTCTTAGTTTTTCCATGATTAACACAAATGTTTCGTCTATTAGCTTCTAATGCTTTGCCATCTTTTGGCATTTAAACAGTAACTTTTAATAATGAAATAGTTAAAATCTTGCATAATTAAAACTATTTTTGATATTCAAAATTACATTTAAAGAAAATATGAC